CCCCCCCCCCCCCCGAACGAACACCCCATATACCTTTCCCTTCCCCATCCGCCCCGATGTTCGACCGCCAAACCAACCTCCCTCTCGAACCGCAGCCTGGCAAAATCAGTCGATGACTACACAAGCCCCGGTCCCTGGGTCCTCAGCACTCGCAGATATAAACGAACGTGCTCTCGTGATCACCGATCCTCACATGACCGGTCATGTCTGATCTCAATGTGACAACTGTAAAAGCATGCTATATGCAAAGTTTCTTAAACAAAATCAACGAATCTGTGAAGAATGTGGTTAAGCACCATGAAGAGCAGTACAAGTCCAAAGACCTCCGGGACGAATATTGTTTTTTCTTAATTGTAAAAATGAAAATCCAGTCCTGCATAGGTGGCAGAATGATCGTCCTGTATGAAGCTTCCCCGTATAGCAAGCCATCACATTCGTAATCAAAAGCAATGGCGAAGACACAAAGCTCAATCAAATCCCATAGAGGATCTACCTCGAACGACCCCTACTCAGGTAGGGCATAGAGAATGTCGGCTCGCCTGTGTAATTTTTTGTCGTTTTGCAGGAGGAATGCGAGTACATAGCAAGAAAGACAAAAAAAATGGTGGTGCATCTTCCCATGTTCCAAGGGAAGATTCATCTTACTTTGCACATTTGCTTAGTGAAGCAAGGCCTTGAATCCTCAACCACACCGCAACACTCTCCAAATTTGCAAATGAGACTGAACCCTCTGCCAGCGGTGGAGTCCCACCGCCCAAGTTGAGTTTTCTCAAGGCTGAGTTTTTTATCACGTGTGGCATGGTGGGACGGAGCTCTGCCGTTTGTGAATCTAATGGTACCGAAATATAGGAGAATAACCTATTAGATTTTGTCGTTTTGTAGATTTTTTCTTTGACGTGAAATCCGTTTGTCGTATGCTTTGGCCCTTTTGGTTTAGGCGGGAAACCATTTTAAGTTTAGAAAACTACCCTACCCGCCCCCAGGGTAGATTTCTCAACTTGTGTGCCTTTTTTTTTTTTTTTTTTAAGACATCATTACATCCAACAGAGGAGGAACTCTGACAACTGTGTTTGGCTCTCTCGCATCAAACTCTCTTCCTTCTTTGGGCAATGAACGCAAATGGTGACCTCTTGTCCCCTCACCACAAGGAGTATCCCTTTTCCATGAAGACATTCATTCCGACTATGCCAGACGTATTTCATTTCTTCCAGTTACGTAATAAAAAATAAGAAGAAAAGTTGTTTCTAGCGTTTTTTTTAAGTTTCTTAATTTCTTGTTTCGAATTTATTAATGTCGAAATTGTGTCACACCGTTGCGTTTTCTAAACTTAACTTGGGCAGTGGGACTTCACCCCAGGACAGAGAAAGATCAGTTGTGTTTTTTTTTTCCCTGTGTTTCGTGGGCGCGACCAGGAGGGGGACGACAACTGGTGGGAGGAGGAGCAGGAGCCGAGCGAGTAGGAGGAGGGAGGGACGAGGACTCAAGGAGGTGCAGAGTACAGGAGAGGTGAACGTTAGGTCGTGTCTTTTTTTTTTTTTTTTTTTTTTCCTTTCGAGGGATGGGGCATAGAAAGAAGTGTGCCGGGAAGGTAGCATGGTTGCTTTAAATATTAAAATTATTTGCATGTCCTCGATCCTCTTCTTCCTCTTTCCCGCCCTCCTCCTATCCATTTCTCTCTTCGCCTCTCTTACGTTGTCTTCTCGATCCCTTCAGTTGGGTCGTGACATCACCGCGGGAGGTTCACTCGTTATATTATTATATACGTATATATCGCCAAATAGAACTGCCAGGTAAATCATAACCAGAGAGGTATAATAGGACAACAAACGAGGGGGTGTGACAAATTGTTTCGTCAGACTTTCACCGACTCGTCAAGAGGCTGAATATATATATCCAAATATGTGCAAGGAAAATGACTGGGAGCGACAAAAAAAAAAACAAAATTGCATATCATGTTGAAGACCAGATAGTCGTGTCCCAAACATAAAGCAAAATGCACCAAGATACAAGTCAAATACGAGCAATACAATGAACTCAAACGTCAATGTCAGCTTTTACTCGCCACAACCAACAATGTATCCAATGTCGCCCTTCTTGATTGGCACCCAGCGCCCTGCCTACATCTACTCAATACCTACTATAGTCTACACTACAATATGCAACAGGAACCACCTCAAGCTAACACCAATGTATGTGATGAAGTCAACCATGCAGACTGCCTCAAACACTAGGTGCACGCCTCTCATCTCCCTCTCTCTCATCACTTCCTCACCACCCACATTGTGCTCCTCCTCCCAAAGACCACCATCGCCCGTACCAACACGCGCCCGACCAGCCTGCATATGGCTGCTATGCGCCCCACTGCCTTTGCAGCGCCACCTCTCCCACCTCTAGTGCCCGCGGGCGCCCTCTGGCCTGCACCCCAGCAGCCTACTGGCCACAATCCAGGAGCATGGCTGCCAAGTTGCTCACAACCAGAATGAGCTGCCCTGGGCAAGGCACTTTCCTAAATGGAAAGTGCTGCCTTGCTCTCTAACAGCTTGGATCTGCCTGGGCCAGGCCATAAACCCGAGCCATAGTGTCTGCGCCCAGGCCCAAGGAGGACAGTGGCCTGGGCCCACAACAGTTAAGCAGCCCAATTGTGTAACGTTGTCAGTGTCGCTCACTACAATGCCATTGGCTGAAAGGCCTCTGGCCACGTTGCTCCCCTGTGATCCCACAGACGTGGGCCTTGTAACCAACTGGAGGATGGCAATTGTCTGGTGCCCCTAGATGCAAAAATAGCAAAAATAGGGCCTTGTGTCTAAATGCAGGCCCACGAGGCTTGTTGAGGGTCTCTCTCGCGTCGGGCGTTACAGCCGAAAAAGGCCCTGCGAGGGCTCATTCCTTGCACTCCCTACTCCTTAGCGAAAATCCGTTCAGTTGGTTCTGCTTTTCCCTTCAACTTTCATTCCTATTCAACAACAACCTGAGATCCTATCTTGATCAACTCTTCCTTCGCGAACCAACAGTCTTCCTTTGGATCCGTGTGACGCTTGAATCTGACCCGGAACTCTATGGTAGGTTTTGGCGGTCTTCCTCTGCCAACCGACTTTGGAACAGGCAGATCTCAATGATCCAGAATGTCGTCAATGTCCACGTGGCCATCCATGGTTGGGGTCAGCATTGATCTCCTTGATGAGAATCTGCCAGTCTCAGTGAAAGGTGCAAGCTTGGAAGCGTGGAAAACAGGGTAAGTGCGTAAATGACCAAGGATTCTATTCGCATAGGAGAGACCATCCAAATCACTACCCATGATATCCAAGACTGAGGCATTAGCTTTCTAGAGATGTCGAGCTCCTGTCCTAACTCACTAGCCTTAACTCATACTCACTCTCCTACTTGAAATGT